ATGTTTTATCCAGCATAACTACAGTAAGTGATTTCTTTTATTTTTTCGAGTAGGAGTTTAAAGTGTACAAAAATAACTAACCAGTGACTTTTGTGGATATTTTCGGTACATTTTGAAATTGTTCAACTTCACCGACACACATTAATTCTTTGCCGACATGTTTGTCCGATTGCTCGAGTATTTCGGTCACTAACGGGCCGATGTCGTCGATATCAACCTGATGAAGTTCACGTGTTTCGAGTATAAGTGGGAGGGTAAACTCAACAGTTAATCCATCATCCATTTTCCTCGGCATCATTAAATTGGTCCAATTTTTATAGTAGAAAGGAGGTTTGACGAAGATCGATTTTACCCGATGGACACTTGTTCGTTAGATACTCTTGAACGTGCGCCTTATGTATTTCATGAAGCACATAACTAGTGGTGATACTACGGGTGGGCACAGCCCACCCTGGAACCATTTGAGCCCACCCTGAAAAAAGGAGAATATTCTATAACCCTTAGTACTAACACCGGTTGGGAAAAAACGCGTCAGAATACATGTTATGGTCTTAGGGGATATCCTAAGAAAACATAATATTTTGATATAGGTTGATTTTATATTAAGAAAAGAATTTGTTTTGTAAGAAGTTACTTGTTTTATTGTTTTGAATTTGTTGATAAAAGAAGAGTTTGTTAGCAATGTATAGACATGTGTCACGTTGTGATATGTTTTGTTATGTACTTCATGTATGTTATCTACTTGCACAGAAAGAAACAAAAGAAAGGAAAACAAAAGAAAAGTTTGTTATAAGGAAAAAGAAATAGAAAGATAGATAAAAATTTGGTTATATGTATGTAGTGAAATCTGTTTCGTCATATTTGTACAATAATTTTATTGTTAACATCTTATGTACTAGTAAAAAGTTACTTGTGATAACTTATGTTTAATATTTTTAAAAATGTCTTGATCTAATTTAAATTTAAATTTATTTTCTTTTATTGTTTTTTTGCCACTGAAGAAAATTTAGCTAATAAATTGAAACGTCTGGCTTATATTATAAATTATATTATAATATATTTATTACGAATTGTAAGCAAACTTAATAAATTAAATAAAATTAAAGTTATCGTTATTCGTATCTAAATATCCCTAATTAAGAAATGAAAACAGAGAAAAATCCAAAAGATGTCTTCGATTTAAAAGCCACCAAACAGTCTATCGGCCAACCATGGGAAAAATGCTTCGTTCTTGAGTTACAGAAATTCAGCATATGAAAGAATTTTTTGAACAGGATTGAACGTGCCATTGACAGAAAATGTTTTTGTACTACTACTAAGTTAAGGTAAAAATTCCAACTCATCGGGACGAGCCGTTTTAGTTCGCACAAACACTAAACTACGTATTCACTACGTTATAATTGGTCTATTGAGTTTGTCCATTGTTTTGCAATAAGACTGGTCCAACCAGCAATTGGTTGTTCTTTTCTTTTTCGTTCTGTTACTTCCAGGGTTGTTTCTCGGCAGCCGGAATTTTGCAAAAGGCTAGCCGTCAAATCAAAAACTATGCAAACTGACGGAGTTATTGAGGAATTACAAAATACCCATTCTTTATGGCACACCCGTTAGTCAAAAAAGTCAGTAGAAGAATAGTTCACTAGTTTTTTTTTTTCTTGATAAATAATTATTATTTTTCATTATCTTTTTCGTTCTTTTTCGTTCTTCATACTATGTTCAATTTTTCTTAATGCATCAAATATAATACACATATCTTCTTTTAAATCGCTAATGATTTGTGCTACTTGTTGAGTATTACTCACAACTTCGATACTTTGATTAATAATATCACTTTATAATCTTCGGGAAGCGAATCAAATTCAGAAGAACTTCTGAAAGGACTATATATATATGTAAACGATTGTGTGCCTTTTACTGTTATCTAGAGAGGGAGTATCAATCAACGTGAAAATGGCACACTTCAGGGTAGCAACAATCAATTCAATAATAATATCTAAGAAGCAGATCTACAATGAACATGAATAATGGTACAATTGACACAGAGGGACATAATCGATATGAAACATCAGAACCGATAGAGTGAGCTCCAGTCACTGCAGGATGTTAGAGCCGATACAAAGCACACAAAGAAAGCAGGGTTAGGGAATTGTAGTCTTCATTTTATCCATGAAGATTGCTTTGACGTATATATAAATCGATAACAGTTAAGGGATTAAAGTTTTAATTGAAGTGATTTGGAAAAAAGCTCAAATTTCTGATAGAGATTAGTCTTCAGAATAATTCGCACTGTCTACTATTTCTTTAAAAAATAGAACGTCAAATTCACTGAACTCTTTGAGAAGAACCGCGTCTCACCATACTGCAAAAACTTATTGAGTTCAAATTTTGAACACGGTACAGTGTATGGATGTGTTTATGAACTCAGAAATTTTGTTTTTCCCCAATACCCGTCAAATTGTATTAAATAAAAACCCGAAGCATGATGCGGAATTTATGCTTTGAACATTCACAAAGATTCTTGGGTTGGTTCTTGTTCTTGTTAAACTATAAGTCTTTTGGTTTAAATCTTGTACAAATAGTAGATACCTTCATACAAATAAACTACAAGTGACACTCACTTTAACTGTTCCACCCTTGATACAAGCCAGTATAAATTTTTTTGGCTTTACGAATTAATCGGAAGGCAGGGCACTCGAACGTACCAGAATACAAAGTCGAAAGGAAGTGGCATGTTCAGCAGATCTCAGTTTTTACGAAATTGTACTCGACTTGTTTTGCCGAGCAGAGGTTTCGCTTTCTATTCGCTCGTTATTTTTTCATAGCTGAGTGTACGAATGGGAGAAAGTAGTTTTGTAGAAAGAGTACAGTCCCATGATACAACATATTGTAAATAAATTACAAAGTTCAATATTATTTATGTACATATAATCATTCATCGTATTATGCTTTCGCAATATATAGTGTCTATTAGAAACTGGAAAGTGAACTAGCAGCAGCTGATTATTGACATAGGTCAGTTAGTAAACGGATGCGAAACTCGAAACAGATATTCTAGACAACTGACCCAAGAGCCAGGAATACCAAGCTGAAACACGCCGGGTTCTTAATAGATTCTCAAATTTTCAGAATTCCACGAACTTGCAGCCAGAGAACTAAACCTTTGAACCGCTCAGTTCGCACAGCCTCCGAAGAACGTCCAGTGAGAGTCCTCATGGTAAAAAAAAATAATTGGAGTAAACTCAGAAAAAAAGTTCGACGGAAAGGATAAAAAAGAATACTAGTAAAAAATTTACTACAGAAAGACTCGTTTCACGTCCGAGGATCATCAAGATTGCATATTACTAAAGTATGAATTGGACGAAATAAAAGAACGAATATTATTCAAAAATAACTATTACAAACAATTTCTATCATGGAGAATCAAAAATCATGTGAGTGATATAGGTTATTGTGATTCAATAGCCATAGAAAACCAACATCATGTCAAATACCCACCATTTAATACTTTGAAAACTTCGTCAATCTTTGTCAAAATAGATACCATTAAGAACTACTGAATAGGGCTCTTACCCAAAATGTAAAACACGCTTTCGTAATATTTACCACATTATATCCGCACGTGTTAAATCGTCTGTCAGAACCACGGCTGCTGCATTTTCGTTTGTGTCAAGATGGAACGTGGACTGGATGATCATTGAATTATTTAACATCTTCACTAGGATGGATGAATGCTGATCTAGAGGAACAAAAGGCCAAATCTTTGATACCACTCAAATATTTTAGAATTACAAAAAAGAAAATCGTAAAAACTTTGATGACGCAATTCTACCTGAATTTATTGACATGTTTCAACCTGACCAATATATAACCCTCAATGAAGTTAAATACCGATGAAAATTAGTTAGTGGCGATTATAAAATGGTTTATCGGGTCCCACATCGGATTTTTATTGTATCTGATGCAAATACTCAAAGCAAACCAAGAAAAATGTTTTTGAAGTAACAAGAAAAATTAAACAATCTAGCGATCTCTCGTCAGATGAAAGTGATATATCTTCATCAACAACATCATCATCCTTGTCATCAACACAAGCGACTGATGAGGTATATGACTAACGCTCTACATATGTACCATATGTACTTGATTCCGTGTATCCTTCTAGAACAGTTCAAATAGCAGTTCCAAAAGTTCAGATTTAAGTCTCTAAGTCAAATATCGTCGCCACAGAAAAGCAGCGGTTCAAAAGAATATAATTATGTAAGAACCTATCTTTATTCTGACAACCAACTATTTACAAGATTGGTATAAAGAAAACATTCCGTGATATCATTTCCGACAGAAACCTTATCTATTCTTACTCATAAGCCTGTTTCGTATTATAGTTTGATGCAAGTTATTATCAAGCGAAACGAGCACAAGATAATCAAAGAAAACTAGATAAAAAGAAAAAGAAACGTGAACAACAGAAAAAAGAACAAAAGCAATGCACAAGAAGTATCCACAAGAATCATTTCGAAAACTGGTCAGCGTTCGATTCAGTAAAAAATGCACGATCAATTGACGAGCAGGCGGTAGAAAGCAACAAAGCTTATCCCAGTTTAACTATAAACGACGACCGCTATTTAAAGGCTATTTTCGGTGAGTGAAATCGTTCTCTACAATTTCGTTTGTACAATTTGTGTTACCATTATTGATGTGCGTTTCGATAGAAGACCGCTCACCATCATCGATCTCGGTAACACATATGGTGTTTGCCCCATTATTAGAGCAATAGATTTATTATATTACAAAAGTCCTTTACTATGAATTTCGGCTCTTAAAATGCAGTTGAACTAATTAAGGGTAATAACCTCTCTTCAACAAGTCTTGAGCAACTAATAGCAAATTTAGACTGTAAACGAAAGAAGCAAGCGAAAAAAGCAGGCCGGCATCAGCGATGAATGCTCATTCCACCAGAATTCAAATCGGTTCATAACCACTTTGTGATCTAATATACGGGAATAATGCGCTATTTAGTGTCCTGTGCCTAGTGTTTGTCCTCGCCGCTACGTTTCTAGGTTCCCGTTTAGATGTTTAACTCATTTGATGAATCAAAAATGTTTCTGTGCAGAGATACAAAATTCTCGTGAAGACAGCACAATATCTTTTAGATGGTGCAAAATTCTCACAGCAAACAGCAGAATTTTGTCTAGTGCACGAGAATAATGCTTTTACGCGAGAATTTTGCTGTTTGCTGTGAGAATTATATATGGAAGATATCATGCTGTCCTAACGAGAATTTATATCTCTTCCTAGACTTCT